TGTTGATAAAAGCTGTAACACATATATATTTGAATCTCCTTTCTTAGAATTCTTTAGTTGCTGGTAGGTATGTTGGTATACTCAGGCTAAGGGTAGACCTGGATTTTATATAAAGTTGTAGTTAATCATTTAAATAAGTTATATGGAAGATTTTCTTAATTCATTTCTTAATGCCCTTGAATGGACTTTAAACAATTATCAGTACCTAGCATTTTAGTTTGAATTAATTACATCAAATTTAGCCAATGTTTATAAACTAGATTTTGTTTCATACAAAATCTTTAAATAAATAGAGTGATTGCTTTGTGTGGGTATTAATATTACAAGTGAGTGTTACATTCTTTCTGTTTGTACTTTTTAATTTTTTAAAAAATGAAATGTATTTCTCAGATTACTTTTTTTTCAGATATCTTTTTGAAGTCATCACATACAGGGAAAATGGATACTTTCTAAACCTTACCTTATCTAAGCTTGTCTAGACTAGTGACCTATGCCTAACTGGATCCATTTTCCATTTGTTGTTATTTCCATGCTTTTATAGGCATTGAAACACCCATATTTCCAAGTCGGTCAAGTATTAGGCGGTTCTTCACATCATCAGGAATCAAAACAGCCTTTAAATAAGCCGCTGCATCCACTACAATCGAAGCCATCTTTAGTTGAACTAGAACCTAAGCCTATCCCAGACATAACTGACCAGACTGTCGGACAGCCCCAGCCCAAAAACAGCCATCAACCACTGCAGTCCATTCAGCCATCACAGAACTTGAGTGTCCAGCAACCTCCAAAGCAACAGAGTCAACAGAAACCACCGCAAACATTATTTCCAAGTATCCTCAAAAACATGCCAACTGTAAGTTGCCGATAATGGCATTTTAAATAGTTCAAGTAATTCAAATAGGATTTCACTTCTAAGAATGTTGGGGAAGATATAAAAGATTATTCTAAGTTAAAGCCCCTGCTTCCTCTGACAGGAACTCGACATGAGATAATTTACAATTCAAATTCAGTTTATAAAAAGAAAACCTGTCAGAATAAAAGTAATAAGCTTAAAGTTTGTATTCTACAGAATTTAACTGTTACTTAAATGCAAAAGAATTCAAAGAAGGGAATTGAAGAGTCTGGTACTCAAGAATAAAAAAAACATTGCCGTTGAGTCGATTCCAACTCATAGCGACCCTACAGGACAAGGTAGAACTGCCCTGTAGGGTTTCCAAGGCTGTAATCTTTACGGAAGCTGTTCTCCAGGTCTTTTCTCCAGTGGTGTCGCTGATGCATTCGAACCGCTGACCTCTGGGTTGGCAGCCGAGCGCTTAACCATTGTGCCACCAGGGCTCCTTGTACTCAAGAATACTGATCCTAAATCAGAAGGATTTTAACAGTTATTTTACATTGTTTTAAATGCTGATGTACAGAATGGGTTTTTAAGTGTCAGGCTAAGTATAAAACTTCCTCTTTGCCCCCTTTGTTCAGTTCAGAGAGCTCACTGAGTCCCATGATTTTAGCTGTCTTCTCAAAGTGTGTACTCCCAAATGTATTTGCATTTTGGCATTTTAGGGTTGAAAGAGACCTTAAAGAGCACTGTGTCTGATTCCCCAGCCAGTCCCCAACCGCCCTGCCGTCCAAATATAAGTGAGTCACCCCCACAGTAGCACCGATCACATGCTAACATACTAATTTTTTTTTTATGTTTATTGTCTTCTTTTCCCACTAGAATGGAAGCTCCATGAAGATAGGGGGTTTTGCCTGTTTAGTGTTTATTGATATAGATCCAGAACCCAGAATGCTGCCTGGCACATGATAGACACTCAGTAAATATTTGTTGACTGAGTGAGTAAATGAGTAATTGCGCACACTATGTTTGAACCACCTCCAGTATTGCGAGGAGTCCACTTCTTCTGTGGGACAGTATGACTATTAGAAAGTCCTTCCTTAGACTGAGCAAAAACCTATTTTCTTGTAGCTTTTAATGAAAGCTAATCACTTTCTAGAAGGTAGCCTTTCAGATATTAGAAGATAGCCCTTATATCATCTGCCCCTCTGCTTTTCTCTAAGGGAAACATTCCCAATTCCCTCACACAGTCGAGGCTGCCAGAATTAGCAGCAGACAGCTGGGTCGGGAGTATAAAACAGAATCACCTCCATTATTCCGGTACCATATGTCCACTCATGGCACCAAAGATTGTATTTTTTTCTTGGAAGCCATATCAAACTGTTGACTCATAGTGAGAGGGAAGAAAGGAAGTTAGTATTTATTGAGTAGCTACTAAGTGCCATGTACCATCCTAGGCCCCCTGTGTGCATCCTCTAAATTGAAACACCCAGTCACCTGGCCCTAAATTTTTATGTAGCTGATGAGTTCCAGAGCTGGGATTAAGCGTTCTGTCAACTAAAATCCCTTTACAAATGCTTATGCCAAACCATATATTCTGCATCTGCTACTTCTATGTTTGATCTCTAAGATTCAAAAAGTTGTAGGACCTCACTTTTATCTCAAATTTCTCATCAGTATTTTTGAACTTCTGATTTTGTCTTCTAAGTTTAACCTTTTTGCCCAACTTATTGTGAGCTATGGATTGTTTAGTTTGTTTGGTTTTGGTATCTGCATGATGAGCAGAATGGCAGTGAGTCTTTGGGCAGGCTATTAGAACCTTCCTCCAGGTTGACACTGATATATGACTCACTACTCTTGGTCCGATTATTGAACAATGTACTAATCCACCTTTGTTGTCCTTTCATTATTTCATCTTATTGATAAGGATCTTACGGAAGACCCTGTCACCTGCATTGCTCTGAAGTCCAGCTGTGCTACATCGAATGAATTCGTTGTTTGCTCTTTATGAAAAGTGGTGGCCTATATGATCTAAGGAGCCCTGGTGGCGCAGTGGTTAAGAGCTATGGTGAGCTACAGCTGCTAATCAAAAGGTCTGCAGTTTGAATCCGCTAGGCGCTCCTTAGAAACTCTGTGGGGCAGTTCTACTCTGTCCTATAGGGTCACTATGAGTCGGAATTGACTTGATGGCAACAAGTTTGGGTTTTTTGGTTTTTATATGATCTAACAGTTTTTTCCTTAGTGTGCACAAACTTTCCCTTTAATAATTGCCTTTACAATCTTTTCCCTCATCCTGTGCCAAACTTATTGATATGGAGTTTGCAAAAATCCACCTTCTACTTTATGAAAATTATTTATATTTGCCCTCTACAGTCTTCTACATACAAAATTCCTTTAAAATTGCAGACATTCGAGGTCCTTCATAATCTAGAATCAGTCTGCCTTTCCAACTCTATCCTCCACTACTTCAGAACAAACCATCTCTTCAGTAAACTTAGTCTACTCTTTCTTCTCAGAACAGACTCTGGCACTTCTGTATTAAAGAGCCTTACTTTATACATTTCCTCTTCTAAATTCTAGAACAATAACAATAGCAACAATAATAATACCTACCTTTTAGTAACTCTTATTATGTGCTTAGGATTTTTTATTTATTTTACCAGTAAATTCAGAAACACTAAATTAAATACCTCATATCCCCATTTAAGGATTAGCAAATTAAGGATTTGAGAAGTTAAGTCACTTACCAGTGGCAGTTTTCCAGATTCATCACATCACTGAAGGGACAACTCAGATCCTAAGTATACCTTCTCCTCACTTATCAACTATCTGGTTATCCGACATTTTGCATTTACGACAATAGTAAACCTATCTGACTCTTTTGCACATTAACAACATACATCTATCAGTAACAACACGAAGATGTGAGGCAAGAGTAACACTGGCTGAGACTGTTAAGGTTATGTGTCAGCTTGGCTGGGCCATCATTCTCAGTGGTTTGGCAGTTATGTAATGATTTAATTTGGCAGTTGTGTAATGATATAATCATCTTCCATTTTGTGATCTGATGTAGCCATCCTCCACTTACACATAACATCAATTTTGCATAACGACCTGCTCTTTGGAACCTAACCATGTCAATAAATGAGGAGACGGTGTATTCAAATCTTCCCCCAACTCAAGTTCAAAAAAGATCTATACCCCTTCTCATCTCCTGTCGTGTTTTTAGCATTTGCTACCTATTTTTGCTTATATTTTTAGATGTGTGTGTGTTAGCTCTCAGAAGAAAGATCTGCTATCTACTTCCAAAAAATCAGCCATTGAAAACTCTATGGAGCACAGTTCTACTCTAACACACATGGGGTCGCTATGAGTTGGAACTGACTCAGCAGCAACTAGTTTGGTCTTCTGGCTTTATATGTTAGCTCAGCTCCGTGGAAGGACCCTTGAGGATGGAAACTCTTATTAGTGTCTTAATGTAATGGCTTGTGTATAAAAGTCACTCAGTAATTTGATTAAAGGTTATGATAATGGATTTTCCACACAGAAGCCAAATGGCACACTGGGTCATAAAAGTGCTCGCAGGCGTTGGGGTCAGACTGTGTTCAAGTCTGGAGATAGTTGGGATGAGTTTGAGGACTGCGATTTTGGAGCCTCCCATTCCAAGAAGCCAAGTGTAGGTGTTTTCAAAGAAAAGAAGAAAAAAGATTCTCCATTTCGGTAAGATTTCAAATTCCTCAGGAAGATATGTTTTTATCATGTATCAACTTTACTCATTAAATATAAACGTAGTTTAATATTGCTTTCCCAAATCTCTATACATACCTCTGTAAAGGTAAGAATCTTGACTTCTCACAGTAATGATTCTCAGTATTAATGGATGAAGGTTATGTTTGTAGGGGCAGGAAGTTCTTGTTAAATTTTTGTGGAGTTGTAAATTATGATCATCATTATTCCCATTTAAAATTCAGATGTCTGTTTGCAGAAGATAGAACCAGCCCAATCTATAAAGTTAATGGTTTCCTCTGATGGTATTCAGATGTAATTATTAGTTTGTTTGCTGAACTTTTTGATAATTTTCTGAACTTCTTCTAGAAGTTTAATATCTCCAGCAGTTTCCTTTTTGTTTTATAAGTTGGGTCATCATTAGTACATTATTCAGTTTTGAAGTGGGGATGGGTTAAATTTTGGTGAACATTTTGGAAAGATACATTGAATTTTTCCTCTTTGGCACAGAAGAGGAATAGGGAGAAAAGTTGTGACAAGAATCAGAAAAACTTATCTAATAGTTGTTTGGCAGTATATAGGGCAGAGGTCTTCATGTTGGGGGTATGCATACCCCTGACTGTAGAGGAAGACTCTCTACAGCAGTTATATATTCTTGGATAATGCTTAGCCAATCAATTTCCAGATCCTCAAATTCCATAGAAACTCCTTCCTAAAAATACGAATTTGAGAGGAGGTGGAGCAAGATAGTGAAGTGAGTGGATGCTCCTATTTACTCCCCCAGCAACTAATTCACTGAACAATGAATAAAAACAAGCACAGACTGAGATCTCAGAACTCTGGACAGCAACTGAGGTATTGGAGAGTAGGGTGTGAGTGCAGAAGTGGGGAGAGGAGGAACAGTGTCAGCACAGAAGCCAGGAGATCCTATCCACTAACATCAGGAGTGCTCACTCATCGCAGCCGTTTTGGGATGGGGCTGGTAACACCCCAAACAGGGAACACAGAAAAGGAGCTAATCTGAGGAAGCTGTAGCCCGATTTTTTTTTTTCAAGGCAGCAAAAATTGGCCGTGGGAGGTCACGGGCCACACAATTCGGAGGCGGTGAAGGGAAACCGTGGCATAGTGTGAAAGTGCTATTGAAACTCACTGAGGCCCAAGATGGATGGGCACTAGGACTGGGAGGAACTGCATGGGCAGCAGGCTGAAGGAAATACTTCAGACTGACGGGGGCAAAGGAGACAGCCCATAACAAGACACAGTGGAGTGCCTGCGCAAAGCCACCAGTGAGGGAAAGACACAGAGAGCCCCCCCCC